CTCTCTCTCTCTCTCTCTCTCTCTCTCTCTCTCTCTCTCTCTCTCTCTCTCTCTCTCTCTCTCTCTCTCTCTAACTCTGTGTGTGTGTGTGTGTGAGAGAGAGAGAGAGAGAGAGAGTCTCTGTATCCCTGTTTCTCTGGTTGTGCATGATCCGAATGAGGAGCAACAAGGTAGTGTTGAAGCGGTCCACAGATAGTTCATCTGATTGTAAAGAAGGGGGGGGGGGAATTTCATTATGTCATATTGATCATCACTATAAATAATAATAATGGACTTTTTCGAATCTTTGTGTGCAGATCTCCATGCCAGGAATGATGGACACCGTCCTCAACTTGGGTCTGAACGACGAGGTGGTCGCTGGATTGGCCAAGAAGAGCGGAGAGCGATTTGCGTACGATTCGTATCGACGATTCATCGACATGTTCGGCAATGTTGTAAGTGCATGTCAATTTGTGAAAGCCATTTATTCATTCATTCATTCTTTCTACTCTGAGACTCTAGGTTGGAACCATTCAGCACTTCAAGTTCACATTCATTCTACTCTGTGACAACCAAATGCATTTACCCGTTACCCACTGCCCAAACTACTACTACTCTCCTCCTCCCCCTCCTCCTCCTCCTCCTCCTCCTCCTCCTCCTCATCATCATCATCATCATTGTAATTGTCATCATTATCATTGTCATAACAATCGATATCCTTGTCGTCATTGTTGCTGTGGCCGCTATGGTGCTGTTCTTTTAATCGTGATGCCTCCTTCACCATTCCTTTTTGAATTCATCATCATCATCATCATCATGGTTATCCTTTCAACTAATGCTATCAAGTTGTTAACTGATAGAAATTTTAATACCACTTTTTTTTTTTTTTTTTTTTTTTTTTAATACCATTTTTTTTTATTATCCTGCGGGAGTAGGGGGTCTTGTTTTATTTCAAAATCTGTTTTGGTTCTTTGGTCGGGATGGCCACCTTATATAGAGAGTGATCTCTGAAGAAAAGCGTTGCCATTTGCTGGAACATTTGTGATTTGATTGACTTAAGAAAAAGAAAGGTGCGAAGCAACGAGTTTTAATTTTTTTTCGTCTTCATTTAAAAAAAAAAAAATCAAATTTGTGTTCGGCTCTCTCTCGAAAATTCGAAATTAATGACCCACCATATATGTTTCAGTAATCTGTAAACCCCGCTATGCACAAAATATTCATAACGGAAAATATTCAGAAATTAAATTTAAATTAATGCACAAAATAATTTCCGTTATAAATATTTTGCGCATAGCGTGGTTGAATGGTGGCGGTGTTGCGTTTTGTTTGTTCTCAAGGTTTTGAGACTTTTCTTGTGACCTTTTTTTTATGCTTTTTGTGACTTCTTTTTTTTTTTTATTTTTTTTTTATAATGGTTATCCTTTTTTGGTTCTCTGTGCATTCATTAGGTCATGGATGTGTCACATTCATCCTTTGAGGAGGAGTTGGAGCACTTGAAGAAGGTGCGGGGTGTAAGTGAGGACACGGAGCTCAACACGGACGATCTGAAGACGCTTGTTGACAAGTACAAGCTCGTCTACAAGAATGCTACGGGCAGCGATTTCCCCTCTGGTGAGCTTTCAAAAAAGTAACCGTTGAGCTTTGAAAACAGTAACCGTTGAGCTTTGAAAACAGTAACCGTTGAGCTTTCAAAACAGTAACCGTTGAGCTTTCAAAAGAAGTAACCGTTGAGCTTTCAAAAAAGTAACCGTTGAGCTTTCAAAACAGTAACCGTTGAGAATCAAACACGTACCTACCTACCCAACCAACCAACCAACCAACCAACTAACCACACAGTGTCACCAAAAAA